CAGCAGCAACAACAGCAGCAGCAACAACAGCAGCAATAGCAATAACAGCAGCAACAGCAACCAATAAACCAATCAAAAACAAAAAAGCAGAAAAGGGCATGCTTACGTCAGGTAATTTAGACCAGTTGAATGATTTGAGTGGATGAGATGGTTTTGGTGCTTTTCTGTTGGGTTGTCTACTGAAACCAAAGAATCCTCCTCCCGGAGTGTTTGCTTGATCTAACACACGAGAAAAGAATATTAATAAAGAGAATATCTTGGGTCTGTGCTGTAGTTCTCTGGATGAAGGCATTTTTGAAGGAAAACTATAGTTTTTGAGTAGCAATAAAAAAGGTACATTTTATAACCAAACTTCTACAAAATATTCTTAGTTCAGCAATTCTTTAGCTCACTCAGTTTATACCAATGACAAAGCAAGAATATTTAACCTATGGCCTCTCTCTGTGTGGAATTAATCCCCCTGCATGCACAGTGAAAAATGAAAAGTTTGAAAAACCAAAATAATTCAAAAAATAATTATACAAATCCCTAAAGAAAAGAAAAATGCACATTTGTTTGCATAGCCCCCACATTATCATGCATCATAGCCATGCAATATCAACCTACTTCAACTACTTCGAAAAAGTTGTCCTAGCCAAAGAAGATAGGTAATAAGTGATAGGTCATACAACGACCAAATGGAAAATGGCCACTCATAAAATAATCTAGGTGTTTAAAATGGCTTCATGGACTGCAAGCAACATTGAATATCTCAACACTAACTTCATTCTTCTTCAAGAGAATCATAAAAACAAACACCTAATCTTTCTAGCTATTCTTAGTACTTTGAATGACCTGTCCTCTATCACTATAAGCTATCTCGTTTGGCACAGACAACCTTCTTCAAAACAGGTGTATCTTACTTGGTGCAGGAGGTGGCGGTGCAAAGCCTCCCCCAGGGGGTCCTGGTGGTGGAGGTGGGGGAGGGGCAGCACCCCCTGGGGGTGGTGGTGGAGGTGGCGGTGGTGGTGGCGCAGTTCCAGACATTGGAGAAGGTTTGAGTGCATTTGCTAGTTTGGAGATTTTAAGGTCATCAGGAATTGAACCACCCACACTTTTGATTACTTCTTCAAGTCGTTTCCTTTCGCTTACTTCATTGTCAAACTGAAAAGAGATAGCAGGATTTGCGCTCTTTACAACAATAACCGTAGAAAATGAGGAAACACAAAGACATCTTTAAACAAAGATTTGTACATGGCACAATATGTAATTATTAATTAAGGTCATGCCCAAAAAGCCATTGAAATTTTGATCGTGTCTATGTTTTTTTTCATAGCATTTTCGCTCAATCAGAAATTATGCAACATTTTAAATGCACATGCAAAACAGACATTTTGTTGTGAAGGAAAATGCATTACTGTGGTTTGGGCCTAAGATATTTTAGGAACACACAAAACACACTTACATCAGAAAGTTTCTGGTCTTGTTCTCGTATGCGCTGCATTGCTTCTTGTAGTTCTTGATTATTTCTTTCTAATTTCACTACCATTTTATCCAGAGCTTCTTTAACTTCATCCTGTTTTCAAGATCATATACATTAAAATTTTATTGGCTAATTCACAAATTGAGCTCTGGAATGATCTACTGTAAGTCAGTGCATGACTTACTCACAGATTGAATTGGGAGTTAGCATGTCAGGTTTTGCGAAGCGAGGGAAAACAGATAACACTCAAATCAAAGGGAAGTATCTAACAAACTCTACTCATATGTGATGCTGAGTCCAGGTCATGAACCTAAGACAAACAATATTGAATTTACTGTGAGGACAATTGAGCCTTGAACACAAGCTTTTTTTCCAGGTTATTATATCCTGAACTTTCTACAGTTGCAAAAAAATCCCCTAAAATGAAGCATTATTATTTTTCAAATACACCAGGTGATCAAAATGAATCTTATTTCCTATCAATTGGCTCAAGTGATTATTTACAGCAAGCATTTTAAAGAAGTGACACTTCATACTTAGAATGTTAGAATGAGCAATATCGAGTACTAAATATTATTATTAAAAACTCAAAGTTTTCAGGGTTCCTCACTGTAACAATTTCGCAATTTGTAGTCATTATTTAGATGCATTTTTTGAATTGTGATTAGAAATGATCCCTTACCATTTCTTCTTTCTTGCTTTCAAGTTCTCTTTCCTTTTTGCTTAGTTTTGATTTGAGGTCCTCAACTAAAGGGACAAAGCAAACAAAAACCTCAAGATATTGTCCTTTCTTTTGTAATAATTTACATGTATTAATGACCATAAAAATGCACAAGTACACCAAAATATTATTACCTCCTCCTTCATTCTCTTGTATTAACCTATCATGACATGGTAAAAAATTTGGTTAGTATAACAGAATCATGCCTACTCTCTTCATTACCATCTTCTGTTTGGTTTAGGGATATGCCAAACAAATTACATTGCACAAGAATTTACTCTCCATCCAATCAAATGTCCAAAGCATGGCAGGAACATGGAGCGGACATGGTCACACCAACATCACTGCACTGCCAGACCAATCACATTGTGCAAGAAAAAATCCCCCACGCACCCRACTTTTTTACAGACATACGAAAACTGCTCTATGACAAATGTTACTTAATAAACAATCTTGTCAATCAACATTTTTTATACAGTGTACTGTAGAGGATACTATAGCATGTAACATTAACTCAACTGATAAACTAGTGGTCCTCTGTTAACATCTGTAGTTAATTAGGGATGGGACTACCATTAACGTGGTCATCTGAGCCACAAGAAGGTCTTACCATTTGCTTATGTAATTACAAAGGCAGCACCTTCTCCTCACTTATTTTAAGACTCTGAGTTTTGATCCGGACTTGAACCCTGACCTCCCACACAACAGACTGATGCTCTTACCAACTGAGCTGACCGGGTGATGGTTACTATTACTTTTACTCTCACAGAACCATTGGGAATTGATAAAAGTTGTCAAACCAATCAAAGTGCGTGTGATTAYTGTTTGTCCAATCAAAATGCTCAGGTATGACACTTTCAAGATCTCAGCACCACATCTGTAATGTGATTTTCACTGCCATATGATTTATTATTATATAGTTAGGCTAGTATGTGTGCTCTGATTTGTCAAAAACTTCCTTTCACTTCTTTCATGCTTACGCTACTTCCTACATTCTTTATTACTAAACGGAGCAGGGAAAAAGCCGGTTTATTTGTTAAATATCCATTTTAAAGTGCAACTTGATTGAGGTCCCATGGATTACATTTAGACAAATCATAATTTGTCAACAAATTTTTAACTTACGAGTCTATAATATAATTGACATTAATATCCATAGGTGCAACATCGGGGTCACCACCATCTTCCTGCTGAAGTACGACCTGTTGTATGGCCCTGTCAATCAACTGCCACATATGACGAGCAACTGAATGTTCATCTAAAGA